TCTGAAGTCACCACTGGAACAGGAGCCCCACAAAGCCTGCCTTCGACCACCCAGGACAGTGGGCAACCAGGAGCTACAGCTCGTCCTTAAACGGCCAGTCCCTGACGTACAGTCCCTCACGTACGGGGAGTGGGACTGCAATGGGACACAGACTAGCCTTGTGGGCAGGGGCTGACTCACAAACAGAATGGCTTTAGAGAATGACAGATGCACAGAAAGGGCTGCTACTACGAGCCACAGGGGATGCAGACGAGATAGCCAGGGCAGGGCGTCTAGGGATTAGGGAACCCAAACGAGCATTTTAACAGACCCAGACATCAGCCGGAAGAGGTTTCAGGCAGAGGCGTGAAAAGTGAAGACTGTTTCAGCAGCAGGGAGAGGTGCGGGTGAACAGAGCCCTGCAGGGACCCTGGGGACCACATGAGCTCCCGTCCTCAGCGAGGATTCTGACCTGCACCAGGGCTGAGTTTTAAGGATGGCCAATTACCAACCTGTTTGTTTGGGGAACGGGTGGTTACCTGGCTGTGTTGCTTTATTTTTCTTCTTCTAAAAACATCTTTCTGTGCACACAAGTAAAACATACATGTAGTTTTAAAAGTCCCAAGTGTTTAAAAATATATACAATGTAGATAATCAAAGTCCCCCTTAAGGGAACCCTCTCCCCTAGAGAGAATCACCATTTACTGTTGGATACGAACTCCTTTTTTTTTCCTTGTTAGTAACTTTTTATACTTATATTTTTATTGACTTTAAACATTATGTTTTTGCTATTCAAATACTAACACACGTGTACTTATGCTTTTTGATACAAGCGGGATCATATTGTATTTCAACTTGCTTTTTTACTTAACAGCATATAAAAATAAAAATAGTTAACATTTTTTGTCCTTATTATGGACCAGCACTGTCCCAAGAGCTTCTCATGGATTTTGGCCCCCTACCCCCCCAAAAAACATGTGTGTATCTTGGCACTCTTTTCAAGTCAAATCACACAGAATCAGCATCTTGGTTTTAATGTGAACACAGCATTCTGTTAGGACCACGGTCTATAATCAAACGGGCCCCTCTTCACGGAACATTTGAGCTGCTTCCGTTATTTCCTTTATTACAAACAATACTGCAAAGTACATCTTTGACTCTGTAAGCTGAACACTTGCACAGATATTTCTGTACTGGCTCCCAACCGAGGGCAACACCCCCTCTCAAGCGGGCTTTGCAAATATCTGGTGGGGAGCATTCTGGGTTGTCATAATGAATTTTGGGGGGAGATGTGACACTTAGTGAGCAGGGGTCAGACATGCTGAATGTCCTACAATGTAAGGGACAGACTCACTCAATAAAGAATTGTCCCCACTTGAAACTAGTATCATATTATATGTTCACTGCAACTCTGAGGTATAAATATTTTTTACTTTAGTAACTACTGTCAAGTGGCCCACAGTGGTTTATGTTTAACGTAAAAACTGTCTACCTGTCGTTTAGCGAGATAGCACCTTCAGTGAGGTGAGTTCAGCATTTATCCATCCCCGCGGCGATTCTAAATGAAAACACCTACTGTGTGCACGGCATGGCTCTAGGCACTGGGGATGTGATGAACAGGCCCCAGAGTCCTGCCTTCATGAAGCTCACATCCTAAAGCCAGACCTACGGACAAACCTCCCTTCTCTGCATCACTTCGTCTGTGTTTCCTTTAAGGGATTTGCCACACTGCGTTTTGTGGTCAGAGACTATGTCCATCCCTGTCTGAGAGCCTTTAGCTCCTGGGCCCACTCAGTGTTTGCCAAAAAGCCCAGACTGGGCTCACAGTTCCTGTGAACAGGCAGCTGTGGGTGGAGCCCTTCTGAGGGGTCTGCCCCACTAGGAGGACACAGGATCCTCCTTCCCTGGAAGCAGCCCCTCCCCTGTGACCCACCCACCCACCATCCACCCTGTGCCCTGGCCAGAGGTGACTGGATCAGAGACAGAGGATGTCTGACTCAGTCTGGGCCAATCAGATTTCCTCCTCCCACAGCTGGGCTGGAGAGGGTCAAATTGGTCCTTGCACATGGCTCCATCTGCAACAAGGGGATCCTGAGGCTGTGAGGGTTCATTTTCACCCTGTGTAGACTGAGGGGCAGAGAAGAACAAAGAACAGACAAAGAGAGACTGAGGGACGAGACAGAGGGAGGCGGTCCTGTGGCCTTACAGCTTCCTGGATGTGTTCCCTGAAAGCCAGACATCGCTTCTGCCCCTGGGTCCCAAGAAACACTTCTGGACTGTCAGAATAAATTCCTCTTTCTTTTTTTTTTTTTTTTTTGTACAGTGAGCAGGTGTGAGTTGTTGTCTGTTTCACAAGCCCTGATCCCTCCAGCCCCTTCTGGCACCTGGATTTCCTCACACACAGTACACGAGGCTGCAGGGACCACTGTTTCCTCGAGCCTTCCTGACTCACATGAACAGACAGGAGTGCCAGGCTGCTCTCCCCAGCTTCCCACGCTGCCTTCCACAGGCCTGAACGTTCCAGAAGCTGCCTTAGGACAGGAAAGCAGGGCAAGCCACAACCTGACCCTTCAGGGCCCCCCCATCCTCAGAGGGGACCTACAGGCCTATTTCTGGTGCTGTCTGCCCCAGAGACACTGAAGCTAGAACTCTGGCCTGAAAGGAAAAAACAGCGAACCGTCCAAGAACTAGAATTATTAGTTTTCTAAAAACAGATTAATTCTTCAGCTAGAGAAGAAATGACTTCAATTTCAAATCCCAAAGTGGTTAAGAGGCGTTTTGCTCACAATATGAACAGATACTGTTTGTGAGGATGAAATTAAATACGGATTAACAGCATTGCATTTTTAATTTTTTTCACCATCAGTCGGCATACAGAAGTCCAATAACATTCGCCTTTCTCTCCCCTCTCTGCACCAGCTTTGCCATGGTATGAACACAAATCCCTATCAACATAAGTACCCTTGTCCTCAATCCAGAAGGATGCCCAAACTTGAGCAGGGGCTCTTTTGACCAAAACCAACATGAAAAACTACATTTTACATCATGGCCCGGGACCCACAGACACACACATGCAGTGAAACAAAAATGCTTAACAACTGGTGCACCGTGAGAGTCTGGTCATTAACAGCCAATTTGGTCACCATATGTAAGTGTGTGACCACATGGACATGCGTCCCCCGAGTAAGATCTTTACAATTTGCAGTGCTCTCTGATATTTTTTTCCCTCCCTCTCTCCCTTTCCAGTATTTTCTAGGCTACTCTGTTCTGTTCCAGGTCTTAAATATTGGTCAAGGTTTCCTTCTACATACACCCCAGTCAGTGGGGGGAGGGTTCCCCAACAGCTATTTGCAAAACACTGCTCCAAAGTAATGAAACTTGTATTAAACCAACAATATCCTCCCAGCTTAACAGGCATAAACTAGATGGAGAATTTATAGCAGTGGCCAGGCTTAGGAAACACAGGGAAGACCTCAAGCAGCAAGCACAAGGCTCCACCCGCTGCGGCAGGTGAGCAGGGCCGGGGGTGGGGGATGGGGGGCTGGGGGTGGAGAGGATGGAGGGTGGGGGTGGGAGGGCCCGGCGGTCCACTTACCTTAAAATGGAAGGAACCTGCCGGGGACCCGCTGGATCCATAGGGCTCACTTTTCCTTAGGTTGCTGTGGTAGTTATTAACCTTGGAATTGACACTGTGGTGTGCCCTGGGGTCATCGGTGATGGGGCAGATGAAGTAACCTTCCTCGTCGTCGCTGTCTGCGCCCGAATCACCGTCGTGGGCAGCCCGGGAGGTGGGGCCGCCATCCACGCCTTCCAGGCGGAAGATGAGGTCTTCGTCTGCCATGTTCCCGGCGCGCCCGTCTTACCCAAGGGCCGGGCGGCACAGCCAGAGTTACCGGGCAAGCGCAGCGGCGAGGGTCCTGCAAGGGAAGCAAGAGGGTGGGTGCTGGGGCCCAGGGCCGGGGAGCTCGCTGGGCACCTCGCCCCGAATGCCACTGGTGACAAAAAGAGCCGGCACCTCAGAGGTGAAACTCCAGCTACCAGACACTTGGCAGGCAGCATTCAGGAGCATTTCCAATGTACCAACCCCTCCACCCAGGAATTCCACTTGGAAGAATTCAGCGCTTGAAACAGGAGATAAATGCTTAAACCAGGAGACTGATCTTTTTCGGAACATAAATTAGGTAAAATCATGTCTCTGCTTAACACCCTCCGGGAGCTTCTCTTCACATTCTTAACACAATCCAAACCCCTTTTAAGGCTACAAGGCCCGCCTCGGTCTGGCCCCTGTCCACCTCTCCTCCGGCCTTGGCGGCTGTCCAGGCCCCTGGGCTCTCTTTCTGTTCTGTGAACACGGGGCGCCTATTCCCACCCCAGGGCCTTTGTACTTGTTGTTCCCTACGCCTGGAACAACCTTCCCCATTGCCCAACAATGGGTCTTTCTCATCATTTGGATCTCAGCTCAAACATCACCTCTCTAGAGATATCTTCTCTGACTCCTCAATTCAAAGAATCCCTCTCAAACGCACACCCAGTTCACTCCCTAGCACATCAGCCTGTTTTATTTTCTTCATGGAGATGTTCTCAAACAGAAAGCATATTGTCTGTAGCCCCAGTGTCTTAAAGAGCGCCTGGCACAGAGTGGGCACTCAGTACATCCCCGGAATGTATGAGGGGCCGGAAGAGCATTCTCAGCAGCACTGTCAGTTAAAGGAGGGTTAAGCGCCCACAGTGCCCATCAATGGAGGCCTGTTATATAAACGTTTTTCTATACCATGAAATACTATGTGACTGTTATTAAAAAAGACAAAGACATGCAAAGATAGTCAAGAAACAGTTCAGCAAGGCTGTAGGGTACAAAAATCAGTAGTATTTCTATACACCAGCAAGGAAAAATTTTAAAAATGAAACCAAGAAAACAATTGCATCTATAATAGCATCAAAAAGAATAAAATATTTGGTTAACAAAAATGCATGACTTGCACATTGAAAAACAAACTGTCAAAAGAAATTTAAAAAGACCTAAATAAGTGAAAAGATATCCTATGTTCACACACCAGAAGACTGAACACAGTTAGGATGGTAGTACTCCCCAAACTGATCTTCAAATTCAACCCAGTCATTATCAAAAATCCAGTGGCTTCATTGAAGAAATGACCAAACTGGTCCTAAAGTTCATATGTAAATTCGAGGCACCCAAAATAGCCAAAAGAACTTTACAAAAAAGAAGGACAAAGTTGGAGGAGTCACACTTCCTGAATTCAAAACTTACTACAAAGCTCCAGTAATCAAGACAGTTGGCATGAGGACAGACACAGGGATCAATGGAAAAGACCTGAGAGTCCAGGAATGAACCCTTACATTGATAGCTAACTGATTTTTGATAAGGGAACCAAGACAATTCAATGGGGAAAGAATAATCTTTTCAACAAATGATGCCAGGACAAGTGAATGCACATATGCAAAAAAATGAAGGTGAACCCCTTCAAAGGCTTAACTATAAGCGCTAAAACTCTGACACTCTCAGAATAAAATAGAGGAGAAAATCTTTGTCACGCTGAATTAGGCAAAGCCTTAGCTAGGACACCAAAGCACAAGCAACCGAAGAATAGACTGGACATCATCAAAATTAAAAACTTTTGTGCTTCAAAGGGCACCACCGAGAGAGTAGAGAGACAGCCCACAGAAAGGGAGAAAATATTTGCAAATCCTATGTCTGATAAGGGACTATGTAAGGACCCATGTTGCTTAACAATAAAAAGACAACCCAAATTTTAATATGGGCAAAGGATTTGAATAGACATTTCTCTAAAGATATGCACATGGCCAATAAACACATGAAAGATGCTCAACATCAGTAGCCATTAGGGAGTTACAAATCAAAGCCACATCCACTAGGATGGATATACTTTTAAAAATGGAAAATGACAAGTGTGGGTGAGGATGTGGAGAAACTGAAACCCTCACACACTGTCAGTGGGAATGTAAAATGGTGCAGTCGCTTTGGAAAACAGCCTGGTAGTTTCTCCAAAAGTTAAACATAGAATTATCATAGGATCCAGCAACTGTATTTCTAGGTGTATATCCAAAAGAAATGAAAACATGTCCACAGCAAAAACTTGTGACTTACATTCATAGTAGTATGATTCATAATAGCCAAATGGGGAAACAATCCAAATTTCCATTAACTGATGAATGGATAAGCAAAATGTGGTTTAGCCATACAATGGAATGCTGTTCAGTCAAAAAAGGGAATGAAGTACTGATGCTAAGTGAGCGAAGACAGCCATCGACAATGGAGGCAAGCATATCCAATGCAGAAAAGACAACAGAGAAGAGACAGTCTCTTCAATAAATGGTTCTGGGGAAAACTGGACAGCTACATGTAAAAGAATGAAATCAGAACATTCTCTAACACTGTATACAAAAATAAACTCAAAATGGATTAAATTCCTAAATGCAAGACCAGATACTATAAAACTCCTAAAAGAAAACATAGGCAGAACAGTCTGTAACATAAATCGCAGCAGTATTTTTTTGATCTGTCCCCTGGGATAATGGAAATAAAAGCAAAAACAAGCAAATGGGACCTAGTCAAACTTAAAAGCTCTTGCACAGCACAGGAAACCATCAACAAAATGAAAAGACAACCTACGGAATGGGAGAAAATACTTGCAAATGATGAGACAGATAGGGATTAATTCCCAAAATATACAAACAGCTCATACAGCTTAATATCAAAAAAGCAAACAACCCAATCAAAAAATGGGCAGAAGACCTAACCAGACATCAATCCAAAGAAGACATACAGATGGCCAACAGGCATATGAAAAGATGCTCAATCTCGCTAATTATTAGAGAAATGCAAATCAAAACTAGAATGAGGTTATCACTTCACACGGGTCAAAATGGCCGTCATTGAAAAGTCTACAAGTAATAAATGCTGGAGAGGGTATGGAGAAGAAGGAACCCTTGTACACTGTTGGTGAGGATGTAAATTGGTGCAGTCGTTATGGAAAACAGTATGGAAGTTCCTTAAAAAGCTAAAAATAGTCTTATCATGTGATCCAGCAATCCCACACCTGGGCATATATCTAGAGAAAATTCTAACCTGAAAAGATACATGCACCCCAATGTTCAGAGCAGCACTATTTACAATAGCCAAAGCATGGAAGTAACCTAAATGTCCATTGACAGATGACTAAATAAAGAAGGTGTGGTATATATACACAATGGAATATTATTCAGCCACAAAAAAGAATGAAATGCCATTTGCAGCAACATGAATGGACCCAGAAATTATCATAGTAAGTGAAGTAAGTCAGACAGAGAAAGACAAATATTACGATACCACTTATATGTGGAATCTGAAAAAAAAATGATACAAATGAACTTACCCACAAATTGGAAATAGACTCACAGGCATAGAAAATAAACTATGGTTACCAAAGGGGACAGGGTGGGGAGGGAGGGATAAATTAGGAGTTTGAGATTAACATATACACACTACTATATATAAAATAGATAAACAACAAGGACCTACTGTATAGCACAGGGAACTATAGTATCTTGCAATAACCTATAATGGAAAAAAGTCTGAAAAAGCATATATATATGTACAACTCAATCACTTTGCTGTACACTTGAAATGAATACAACATTGTAAATCAACTATACTTCAATACAAATTTTTAGAAGAGAGTCACAGAAGACCATATACTGAATAATTCTATTTATATGAAATGTCCAAAGAGGGCAAATCTGTAAGAGAGTACGTAAGTGATTGCCTAAGGATGGTGAAGGGGACAGCTGGGGAGAAATGGGGGAACAACTGCCAAAGGCTTTCTTTTGAACTGATGAAAATATTCTAAAACCAACTGTGGTGTTGGTTGTATGACACTGTGAATATACTAAAAAGCAGTTAATTTGACACTTTAAATAGGTGGATTGGTAGGTTTGTGAATTCTATTTCAATAAAGCTAAAGCTTTTTTTTTAAAGACAAGAAAAACGGTTAAGTTTTAAAAGCAAGTTGCGGAAGAGCAGTTACATGGTGGTGATCCTATTTGTGCTAAAGAAAAGGTACATTTGTAGATGCATTAAAACTTCCCTGAAGGACACACAAGATGGGCAGTGGGACTGGGAGCTGGAGGCAGAGGGAAGTTTTTAACATTTGTGTACACTTCTTTACTGTTTTAACTTTTTACAAAGCTAGGTTGCTTTCAGTATAAAACAGTAAGTGAAAAAAATTAGAAAATGTTTTAGATCAAGGCAATAATTAACAGCTCTTTCCATCAGCAGGGAGTCTCCAGCACATTGTCTTGACCGTTATCACGATGGGAAATACATTTACATCCTAACACAGTGCACACCTACAAAATCTAAGTTACTTCGTACCACGCACTCTGCTATTTTCTATTCTACTTGTTTTTCTTTCTTTTTATTCTTTATCCTTAATGCACCACCCACACTGATTTCTCAGTTCAGTTTGAAAATTGCTATTCTGAGTGTCAACTGAGTTTGTTTCTGACCCCTCGGGCAAGACACAGTCACTGCCTGGATCCCAGGCCTGAGCCACCTGATCCTGCTTGTCACCAAAATCTTCCCCGGGTCCTGTGCCCACTTCTCCCCACTTTTGGCTGCTCCCGGCCCTAACGCCTACTCTGCCCTGGTCAGCCCTTGGCCAGAATCCCTGCTGACCAAGAGACGTGCTTGCCTAGAGCTGCCAGCAGCCCAGCCTGGTCGCTGGGCCTCTGGGGGCTGGGCTGGTGCCAGGGGAGGGGCCAGAACCACAGCTTCGGCTGCGCACCTCGAGGCAGGGTAGCCCAGCAGTGAAAAGCCCGAATTCAGGAGCCAGGCTGCCAAGGGTGCACATCCCAGCTGTGCTGCTGGTGACCTCGATGCCTTCATCTAGCCAACTCC